TCAGTGCTGGGGAAGCTGGAAACGTTCACCTCATCCAGTTCACTTCACTGCCACCTCCCAGCTCTGCAATCGTGGTCAGAAAACCGTTTCCACTGTCAAGTGGAAAAGGAAAATGACAATAAACTCAGACCACCACATGTCCTTCGTGTACCAAGTGCAATGGTCTATGATACTGTGATATTTGCTAGCTGGTAAAAAATTATTACTGCCAAATGTATCATCCTTTTCTTGCTGTTACCCATTTCCCAGGAATATAAATAACAATCGAGAAGTGATAATAGATCCAATAATGTCCTGTTATATCCTCACCAAGTCTGAACAGTTTCACAAGCTCAGTTTGCTGTGAGGATAACAGGAAACTGCTGAGAACTGTGCAATGATTGGGAGCACGTTGATCATAAAAATACAATGTACTTACACAGGACATTTAAAGTAGTTCAGACATCTGGATTAGACCAGCTAAGAATTATTCCCACTGTATAGGTGAGGAAATTGAGGCACAAAATAAAAAACTTTTGCTCTGGCTCAGAGGACGATGACTTCCTTGGACACCAACAGCTCTGGTTCTGGAGAAGTCTCAAGGTTTCTGCTCAGGAGGAGAAACAAAGACAAATGAGACAGATTTGGCCATGGGAATACGGATCACACTGAACATCGGATTCAGAGCAAGATCATCTTCCAAGAATCTGCTGTCACGACTGTCGTACATAAACCACAGCTGGTCTTTATCTGGTTCAGCCTCTGGTATCCCCAGCGTTTCAAACACACACATTTTGTTTTAAGGGCTGGACACTGACTTGAGAAATACAGAAAACAGAGTCTTCAATGACGGCTCAGATCAGCTCAAACTCATACAAGCAGTAGCCAGAGCATAAATATTTAATATAAATCTTTATGATTCTAGGTACTAGAAATGATTGCAGGAGAAACACAAACTTTCAGAACATGGGCTCTTTTCCAGTCGTGTTTTACAAGGTTCAGCCTATCCGTACAGTGACATTTTTGCAAGTATCAAGAAAATGAAGCAAACCAGCATTACATTACACGGCCGAGACAACAAAAACAGTGATGTGCTTCCCAAGCTCTGTGCAAGTCCACCCTGAGCAGACCCTCCTCGCTTCCGAACAAAAACGCCCGCCGCCAATGCTTGGGTTTGCTATTTTTTAACATTATTTTTAATTTTTTTTTTACGAGATGACTACTCCTCACTAAGAAAACGATACCCCTGTGCTGCTTCTCATCAGCAGCTTATCAGCGTGTGTAGGATTTCATTTCAGGACCAAGACCCCAAAATGCAAATTGGGAATGACGTGGGCTTGGCGTGGTCAAATCCTTGAGCGCATCTTCAAGGCACAACTTGACACCATTCTCCCACTGAGTGCATTCAACACAATAATCCCGATTTCCAGGAAAGTTGTCTTTCCCTGGACCTCCGCTTGGCTCCCGCTCCCCAGCAGCGTTGACCGGTCCAAGCCCTGCAAGCCCCCATTGCCACAAACCCCCTTTTCCTCCTGCTTCATCCCACCCAGGTGAGTTTTGGGCTGGGTCAGCCCTGGTGCAGGCAGAGCACGAGCAGCAGCGCTGGCCCAAATGGGACCAGGGAAGGCAGGGGACGTTGGACAGAGCTTCCTTTAGCCCAGGCTGCCACCAACGCTGCTGCAAGCCCAGGTTTTCCCATCAGCCTGCACACTTCAACCTTCTGCTATCCACAGAGTGGATTTTCCACTCAATTCCAGCCTCACAATGATCTTTTTGCCTGAAGACACCGACACAACACCCGTGCTGGGCTTCTCCCACAAAAAGGCATTTGTCTTCTGAAAATGAAGACGTTTACCTCGCCCTGGGGAGCGCAAGGCCAGTTCGCTGTGCACTGCGCTCTGACGCTCACCGCGCTGCCTGCGATTGCTGCATTTCTTCTCGTCTCGGTCTCTGTTTAAAGAAATTCAATGGCACAAACACGGAGGGGGCACCACTGCAGCCCAAAGGCACCATCTGCGGTCTGTGCCGCACATCCACAGCGGTCCCTGCCCTACTGAACCCAACTCCCTTACAGTGGGAGACGTTATCTTAAAGGAAGAGCGAGCAGTTCCTCTTGGCATCTGCTGGACCAAACCTGGCCAACCCAGCCAGCCTCAGACCCAGAGGTATTGTCCGTTTTTAAGCCCATTTTCTAACTCCCCACATTGGGCTCCCCCATCCTCGCTCAGCAGAGGAACAACAGCGGGGCTGCACCACGCTCAGCAGCCACAGCTCCCTGCAGTCCCCACACCTCAGCCAGGGGCCTGCCTCAGTCTTCATTAAACGGTGGAGTTCAGAATCTCATCATCTGCTTTAATTTACGTGGCTGGTTCATGTCGGTTTGGACAAGGCAGAATAAAGGGGGCGATTGCAATGCGATGCTGTAAGGAAGCCAGAAGCAGAAGTAAAAATGAAGGAAAATGGGCGTTTACTTCAAAGAGAGACTCCCGATTATTTCAGATAACGCACGTAAGCGCTTCAACACGGGTACGACTCCTTCGCACACCTTTGTTGGTTGATACCACTTGGGTTTTGGGAGATTTTTAATCTGCTCTTGAAACATTCAGGCTTTCCAAAAGAAAGGAACTAATGCTCCAATGAAATAAAGGAGTTTTCCTACCGCTGGAAGGCGAAATGAAGCAAAGGCAGTAACACCAAGGTGAACGCTGTTCTACCTCTACACAGCAAATAAAGGCTGAGCAGGCAGTGCCGAGACAACAGCCGCAGTTGTGCTGCCAGAGCCGAGAACGCAGGACACACATGGAGGTGTAAAATGACCAGAGCATGACGACGAGCGAGCAAAAGGCCACAAATGCAACCATGAAGAGCTCTGGGAAGAGGATGTGGTGTCTTCTAGAAATACACCAAACAGGAGTAACCGATAAGCTAGAGGAGAACTGCTGTGGTGGCACAGCTCTGCATTCCACACCGCGGCTTTGGGGCGCACGGTTTGACCCACTCCTGTCAGAGGAACTCTTACATCTTGCCCTCGAGATCAAGGAATGAAAATCAGCCCTGCTGGATTCTACCTTTGCCTGGTGCAAAGCCCTCTCACGCCAAGCGTTTGACGCTCTGAGGAACTTCCATTGTGGAGAAGGCAGCCTCCTTCTGCAAAGAAAGTTCACAATGAGAAATACCAGACTTGCAGCACATGAAAATATGAATATTTAATATGTTTACTGAGCAGACTCTGTCACTTCTGTTGTGCATCTACGCAGAACTAAATCCCTCCGTTTACATTTGGATTTCCCTCACTGATCTGATCGTCACAACACAGATACAGCTGTAAAGTGCAACGTATGCTTTGGTTTCCTTAACTAAAAGCACTTCTCGATCGGTTTTAGCCAAAGACAGGGCCCAGGTGGTCAAGGACATTCTTGAACACAAGATCACCTCTGTCACAGGCGGAGAAAAGCCAGGAGCTACTTCACAACATCCGTGCATCGGGGCAGGCCGGGGAGATTTCAGTGACTTTGAGAAACGGGGAAGAACTCCCCGTTAACCGAGGATTCGCCGCTGAACCGGTTCAAAAACCTCAGGTTCAGGTTTACACTGAAACCAACAACTGAAAGAGAGCTGGCAAACCATGGAGCAATTCAAACACAAGCCGACCGTTTGCAAAAGGTATAAACATTTCCAGAACCTTCTCGTGGACAGAGAACCAGGGAGGCACGGGGATGGTTACAGGGTTCACACGTCTGCGCAAAAGCAGATATAAAGGTAATGTTATGTACATTTTATTTCAATAAAGACATAAGACAAACAGCGTAAAGATGCCCAGATGCCCTAAAGATAAATACATTTAAAAGATTCTCATTAAAATGAATCTGTAGTATTTCTTTCCTGCAAGCAAAATACCTTTCTTTAAATACAAAAAAAATCAGTATTCGGAATTGCAAATGTTTTCACTTTTTTTGCAGAAAATCTGCCATGATGATTTTTTTTAATGAATAAGGATTTTCCACAAAACAGGCTTGCTCTACATGCTATTTTTTAAACAGTTCAGTGACACAATGTGCTAGCTACATACACAACAGATAATATAGTAAGAAAACACTCAACCTGATGAAAAGTTAAAATCTTCATTAATACACTGGAAAAAGTTGACATAACTCATGCCTTTTAAAATCAAAAATACAAAAATTAAATGTTTTCCTAAAAAGATTTTCCTTATTTTAAGGACTCATTTGAAAATGAAGCTGCATGTAATTTGTACAATAAAATTGTACAAGTAAACAGGTAATATACATAAAAAATTAATTGACATACTTCTCAATTATCAGCTGTCCACCTTTAATTTCCAATACTGTACTTTCTTAACAAGCATACAAAATAGCAAACTTCTCTTTAGAAAAAGTGCCGTTCCGTGACATCTTTTACACAAAACCAGTCCGAGCCCGTGGCACGTTAATGCAGTCGAGAGGCAAAGCATCCCAACCCGTGCAGAGCCTCCCTGCGAGCGGGAGATCGCGCGCCCTTACAAAAATATCCGCCTCTCGCCGCTGCATTACGGCGCCACGGCCCTGCGACCCTTCCTCCACATCGCATCCAAACCCCTCGGGGAGCGGCCGGGCCGGGCCACGCCGCCGGCGGAGCGCGGGGACCACAGGATTGTGCGGGGCGCCGGGGCCCACGGTGAACACCGAGACCACTGAGCCGCCGTGCGGAGCGCTTCGAATCCCGGGGGAACCGGGCGGCGGCGGCTGCATGGCACCAACCTAGGGGCGAGCACGCTACCTCTCCCTTCGAGATCTGCGCGGCGTCGGCTGAGGTATTCCTTGTCCATCAGGCGTCGGTGCCGCCGCAAGACGGGGTCTGTCCAGGCCATGGCGACGGTTTCGAATATTCTGGGTTCCTCTCTTCGCTAGGCAGTCTCTTGATTTGTTTGGAAAAGGTTTCGACTACAGTAGAATATTACAGAAAGAAAAAGATAAATGCCGGGGGGGGTTTTTCTTCCTAAATGAAACTTACGTGGACTAAAACTAGAGAGTATTTTAAACAAATATACAGTATGCAGGCAGACGAAGCAGGAAAACGGCCATCCAACTGTTTAATAAAAAAAACTAAGAAAATTTGGCTATTTCCAGAAAAACTATGAAGCGCCTCAACTAAAAGGAATGCATAATGAAATTCTAATCTAATACAGGTCAAAAATGTAAAAAGGTTATAAACCTTAACAGGAAAAATAAAACAACTTGTACTGGCCATTCCTGTTGAAATGAGAATCTGAAAAGTAACAGAAAAGTGGCTACAAACCCACTTAGAGCACCAAACAGAGAGAAAACAAGAGTCCATTTTCGATCTCTGTTGTATCATAAAATCCTGTGTTTCTACAGGTCAAACTGCTGGTGGCAGAAACAGAATTCTGTATAAACTGCAGATGTCCTGTACATAAAAAATCGCCTTGAGTCGCACTAGTTCTAAAGCCTCTTCTGTTCTAGCCTACCTACGGTGTGTACTGTACTGCGCTGAATGCCAGAGTCTCTTTCTGTAACCCTTGATTATTGTTGGGCACCAAAGATAAGAAAAGCAAGACGGGGTACAAAAATGCAAAATTTCAACAGTAATGGCAATGTTTTGTTTCAGTCCGAAAGGGTCCTGCATTTTCTCCCCCTGCAGCGATCGGACAAAGGCTTTAATCGGGGGGTAGCAAGTCATGCAAGCGAAATCTGTCTCTGATGTGAGGTCGGACATCTTCGTTCTGCAGGGAAACAAAAAAGCGCCAGTTTTAGGAGAACGAACGCGTCTGTAAACCAGATTTTAACAGGGCCCGTTCTCTAACCCCGCTATTTTAATGTAACAAAATATGAGCCACGAGTATGTCATTACATGAGAAATAACCGCGTGACGTTCACACCAGCTGAGGAGTCGTTTGTTTGTGGTTTAGGACTAAAGGCCCACATCAGCGCCAACCAGAGGCACTGTTTAATCGAAATGCCTACAGATCCACCATGTCACGGAGGTCGATGGTACAACTGCCCTGCCCTTGATGGAAAGCAGCGAGAAATAACGCCAGGCTGTCTTTGGCGATGGAAAGCAGCCCCGGTGCACGCGCTGAAACGCCGCGCGAGCCCCCCCTTTGGAGAGGCAGCCACGTCTGACCTCAGCCGCTCAAAAACGCGTAATATGTGTGAACGTGCTTAAATCCTAAAATGCGTGAACGTAATCACACGCGCTATCTAACATCTGGGGGCATCTGCGGGGAAACGCTCACCAGCTCTACGAGTTTCTCCAGAAACGGAATCAATTTTAGGAGCTCGTTGTCATTTTTATCCATGAACCAGCTTTCTATAGGAATTCCATTGGAGAGCTAGGGTTAAAAAAGAAAAAGAAATCAACACGTGATTTATATTTAATTGATCTGAGAATATGATCAGTGAAATAGCATTTTTGGGGGAAAACCGTTTCCAAGCTATAGTTTATGAACGCGTATTTTTCCTCTGAAGTTTCTACTCCAACTCACTTGCGTTATCCCTTCCTTTGCAGGCGCCACTGCCAAAGGTTCCACGTCAGAGCTGAAGCACAAAGCTCTGCTGGACCGAGCAGCAGGGGAGTTCTGAGCCAGCTGCAGGTCACTGCCCGCTCGCTGGGCGCTCCTGCACGCCCCTGGTGCACGGGAGGCCGCATCAAACGGGTTTGGGCTCTGCTGCTTCAGTGAGGTGAGGCGTCAGATCAGGCTCTGCACTGATCCATACCTCAGCTACCGGGACAGGTACGACCACGCTGCTGCAAAACCTCAATGTCAGCCTGCAAAGGCTTAAGCGATTTTCACAGCTGTGCATCACTTCAACCAGGGGCTTTGTTCTTCATCATTTCCCCAGCATTAACAAAATTCAACGCACGACAGAACCCAAGCAACACGTCTGTGATTACTTCAGAAACGCTGGATGAGAGCAAACCGAGCGGTTATAAACCTGCTCAGGTAAGAAGTCGCTTTGCACTTGATCAGCGCTTCTCAGAGACAGGAGAAAAAGGAGCAAACCGGAGCGGGTTGGTACGGTTTGCTTTGCAAACCCAAACCCAAACCTAAGCACAAAACTTAATGCAGACTTTAAATCAAAAGGCCGTGTTTCACTGGGTGCCTTCTGAACGCCCTGTGCCCACCCGAGGAGTCGCTGACAGCAGCGGCCTTACCTGATAAGCAAAGGCTTGCGGTGAATTGTCGATGATGATGGTTTTGGAGAGATCTCTACCAAGAATGTTTAAATCCTTGATGTAATTTCCTTGTACACAAACGCAATGCTCGCGGAAAAGTCGATGCCTGGGATTAAAGTGAGATGCCAATTAATGGGACGAGTCACAGCACCTGCACTGCACAGGGGAAGGGCAGAGCTGACTTTGACAAGCGTTATCCAGTTTTTCCTCCTCTGATCTACTTCGCCCATTTTCAAGAACCGTTCCCTTTTCCCCGTTCACTTTAGAGCCTTTCCCTGGTGAAGTGACCAGCTGATCTGATGTTCACCCGGTTCTGCGGGCGGCTGGATGTGTTTACACAGAAAAGCTCACCTCAGATGCGCAGAATGCTGATGAACAGCGCCTGGCTTTCCAGCCACTTTGCAGATGGATTGACAGAGGCACCCAAAATACTCCAGCAATTTTGCAAGGCCTGAGATCAGCGACCAGCTCTGCACAGGAGCCCATTTATTGGGTTTATTTCCTTTATTTTCCCTTTTATTTCCCTTTACTTCCCTGTGATTTTGTTCCAGCTCACCACGGCCTCCCTGTGCCACTGCACGCTCAAGCACAAAGTACCACAAGAAATGTTTCCTTTTTATGCTACCTCTGTTCGCAATTAACCTATTTCAGTTATTAGAGCTTTTTAAAAGCCTCGAGGCCAAAACACTCCATCAACTTCTTCCTTTCCAATTAGTCTGCTCCCTTTTAATTTAATACAGAAGAAACACAAAGTAAATGAATGCATAGACTCAAAGGACTCCGATTAAAAGAATACCAGGACTAAAACTGAAATTGCATGGAGTATCAGGGCAGTTGTAATTTAAGAATCGACTGTAAACCAGAGAGGGTTTGAGCTTTCCAGTCGTATCACAAGGCAGCTTCTTTAAGGCTGCTCATGTTTTGCAGGGAAGTTTCTAGAAGCTGCACACACTGTGCTTATCACTGAGGGGTCGAGTTCCTCGTGTTGCTATGGAGGGAAATCAGCTGGTGCCTCGGCAGCGAACACATTTAAATATAGACTGTGAGTCACACCGCGCTGCCTGCCAGGTCTGCCTCCAGCCAACGGCTCGGCTCGCCCTGCTCCGATGGCGGCTCTGCAGCGCCTCACGCTTCACACCCGAACTCACGCGTCACACCCCAACTCAGGCATCACACCCCAACTCAGGCATCACCTCCGGACTCAGGCATCACCCCTGAACTCACGCATCACACCCCAACTCAGGCATCACACCCCAACTCAGGCATCACCTCCGGACTCAGGCGTCACCCCTGGACTCAGGCGTCACCCCTGGACTCAGGCGTCACACCCCAACTCAGGCATCACCGCCGGACTCAGGCGTCACCCCTGAACTCACGCATCACACCCCAACTCAGGCATCACACCCCAACTCAGGCATCACCTCCGGACTCAGGCGTCACCCCTGGACTCAGGCGTCACCCCTGGACTCAGGCGTCACCCCTGGACTCAGGCGTCACACCCGGACTCACACATCACACCCCAACTCAGGCATCACCTCCGGACTCAGGCGTCACCCCTGGACTCGGGCGTCACACCCGGACTCGGGTGTCACCCCTGGACTCAGGCGTCACACCTGGACTCACACATCACACCCCAACTCAGGCATCACCCCCGGACTCACACATCACACCCGGACTCAGGCATCACCCCTGGACTCACACGTCACCCCCAGTCTCACACATCAGTCTTTCCATGCACTCTCAGCACCCCGTTTGGCCGTATATTTGGTTGTGCTTTTCCTGCTCCCAAGGCAGTGAAAACTGCAGTGCTGCACCATCCCTGGTCAGCTCCTGGAGGAAGTTTTTAGCGCTACGGATGCACGCTCCGACTCATTTTCAAGTGCCAACACCTCACTCGTTCATCCCCCTGGCTGCGTGACTCAGCTGGCCTCAGCCATTCCAAGGACTGAACGTATTTCAAGTCCAGTTTTGTTTGCCCCTTCAAAACGCAGCGGCAAGCAGGCTTCCCAAAACCACACCGGGATTCTGTTGAGCGTGCCATGAAAACAAGCGACCAGACGGCTGCATGAACACCAGGGGACAGTTCATCTCTACGCTCTTCAGGAAAACGAGTGGCGAGGTGCCTGAACTACCAGGGGAGAACCACGGCTGCACCCACTGGCCCGGTTTGCTTACAACAGATATGTTCACAATTTTCTGTGTTTACCTGACCAGTTGCTTTTTAGGGTCTAGTATGTTCAATAACTTGTCTGCATACACCTTCTTAGAAGCAGTAAAAAGAATGATCTGTGGATTAAAGGGGAAAAAGGAATTATTTTAGATACAAGTATGTGACTGTAATTTAAAAATGACGTTCAGAGGAAGGGTCTGATTGGTTTTACCTCATAAATCTGAGACATACGTTCCAGGAATTCTCGGAAGAATGGCCTTAACCGGACATAAACCTGCAAAGAGATGGACTTCATTACAGGCTCAAAACACTTCAGCTATCGCCCGCACTCCTGAGTATCAATTTGTAAAGATTAGGCCAGAATCAGCATTAGGAATAAAGCAAACAGCAAATATTAACTTCCTACAGCAGAACAACTCAGTTAAACCAGTATTAAATCAGCCTGCAGCCTAAGCAACTCAAAGTGGAAGCGCAAGGCGATACAATCAGGCTCAAGAGTTTTTACTGGAAAAACGGATGGAATGAGAAATAATCTCAACTGAAATGTAAAGGAATATCAGTCTCTACAGAAGAAATGAAACGGGTTGCTCCGAGCATCCTGAACCAGCTTTCACCATCAGCGCAGGCACCAGATGACGTGTGCCAGCACATCCACTAAACCGTGCTCTCAATGACCTCTGCTGAGCACTGCACCTTGAACACGGGGGTGGCAGAGGTGATTCTTTTTTAAAAGAAGGTCTCAGCTGCTTCCAAGTTTCCCTAAATCCAAACATATACAGAATTATTCCCTGCAAACACCGCAGACTCCTGAGAAGAGACACCAAGTTCAGAGATGTCCGCATCTCTCCACCCTCCTTTCCCTTCAGAACTCAAAAGCCAGTCACAAAGCGGCTGCTAACGCTCGAGCTGTTAGGGCTCCGTCACTGCACACCAGAGAACAGCTGCAAACAGCGGCAGGCAAAAGGATGGCGTTTGGTGCCAAGGTCTCTTCAAGAGCTCCATTTCCAATTACCCAGCCCCTGCTCGGCTCGGGAAGCGCAGCTGTCGCTTCAGAAACACCTCTTCAACATCTCTTCTACAAACTCCCCTGGCAACCAAAGCAGTAAGCTGAGGTATCCGTCCATGTAATATAAATAAAAACAGCTTCCATGTCATTTACTGTTCCTTTTAAATCTGCGTGGAGTTATATTGCTCACAATGGCCAGTTGAACGAGTTTTTACAGTCATTCAGTTAGAGGAGAGAACAGCCACGGCTGCCTGGGTTCCTGCCGTGTGCAGGCTCTTTCTGCTGGAGCTGTCAGGTTGTTTAGCGTGGGGATCACTGCAGCATCTCTGCAACGTGTTCTGGTGCAGGTTACTGCCACGTAACTGTGTGCCTATCTTAAAAGAATATCTAAGTTTCCATGTGGTACTAAGAAGTTCGTATGTGAATGCAAACAAGAAAACAGTTTCACAGTGGAACCTGTATTTCTAATCACAGCTTGCACATGTGCAAGTTAGCAGTGACATCGATGGCCGGCACTGGTCTGTACTGGTTTGTGACACTGGGGCACAGCCGAGGGCCACCACATCACACCCAGCTACGAGGAGCTGACACACAACTGCAGCAAAGCATTTCAGCAACCAGAGTACAACAAAACGCACCCATCGCTGCAATGAGCACATCTGATCTGAAAGGTGGCTTTTGAAAATACAGATAAGTGTCCCATAATCATTCTCACCATTTTTAACGACTGGAAGTTTGTCAGCAGAGACAGACGCTATCATCTGCTTCACAGTGACTTACAAACACGTAACATAGGGGAAAAGCCCCTTCAAGGTTTTCTGGTGGGTTGGTTGTTGTTTTCCCCCCCAGTTGATCATCACATCCCGTTACTTCAATGGCAACAAAACCCAAATGCACAAAACCAGAACTGTCATTCGATGTTCCTTCCATCCAACCATCCCCAACCAGACAGGGGTTACAAATCCCCAAACCAGACAGGGGTTACGAATCCCCAACCAGACAGGGGTTACGAATCCCCGACCAGACAGGGGTTACGAATCCCCGACCAGGCAGGGGTTACGAATCCCCAAACCAGACAGGGGTTACGAATGCCCAAACCAGACAGGTTATGAATCCCCAACCAGGCAGGGGTTACGAATGCCCAAACCAGGCAGGGGTTACGAATCCCCAAACCAGGCAGGGGTTACGAATCCCCAACCAGACAGGGGTTACAAATCCCCAACCAGACATAACCACCCAGCCATGGCTCTTCCATGGCCAAAGTGCAATTGTAGAGGTCCTACTGAACTAAAACAAAGTCTTCCCAACCTAAGACCAGACTGCTCTGCCCAAGATCCACTAAGGCTTCCTGGCGTTCAGATCCAAAGCTTGGTGGCGCTTCTGCTGTTTCCCAGAAACGGACAGCGTGGAGCTCACCGGGAGGGAGAGCCAGCACCCACCAGCGCTGTTTGCCTCGTGTGGCTGCAGTAATGAAGTCAAGCATCTGTGTTTGTTGGCAGTAAGATGGAGCACATGTAACACCATATTCGTAACCTCCCGCTGACCCACGGCGTTCCTGCGCATCTTCCAAGGCTCAGGAGGATCAAAGGGAATTGCTGTGTGCTAGATCGGTAAAGATGCAGCTCAGCTGAAGCCCTGAGTGGAAACATCTGCCTTGGGCTGCGAAGGCAGGGAAGGGACCCTTGGAGTGGAACCGAGGGCGAGATGATCTCATGACTTGAAACCAGCAACAGAAACAAAACCTCCTTACCAAGAAAATAAAGAGAAATGTCTTTGTAAGATAAGCTGCTTATCTTATTATGTAAAGGAGTACGAGGAGTGCAAAGTCTAAAGTCTACAGCTGGAAAACTGAACGTTTGGTTTTGTTTTGCAGTCAGATGTAAGACAGCACTTGTGTACAAGGCCGTTAAAGAAAGCTTCAGAAATACTGTAAGGCCCTCTTTCCATTGACCTCAATTTCCAAGAGGTAAAATCTCGGTTAGATCTCAGCATAAACACACAACACCAAAAGGACCAGGGATACAGACAGAAAATACCCAAATCACACTGAGATCTCTGAAGAGAAGGGAAAAATGAAGCTTTAGTCTTGCTGGTTCTGTCAGCAGTGTCAAGAACCTCCACAGAACTAATCCTGAGGCTTCTTCCACCCTCAGCCTGGAGGAAACTGCATGGCCATCACCAAATGAGAGATAAGATAAAGCCCTGTTTAAACATCACTTTGGCTTTTCAGATTCCACTGGTTTTTATACACAACAGCGAAGAGAAACATTTTTAAAACCAGGAAAAGCACCTGGACAAGTGTCCTCTCGAGGTGCCTGGCTCATTCTCCAAAGATACTGCAGTGGGGTCCAACACGGTGTGAGCTATGCGGTGGGGAAGCTGCTGCTACACCACACAAGAGGACCCGAGAGCTCCTCCTCCCCACGGCTGCTCCTCTGCGGTACGTCAGTGTGAATCACACACAACTGCAACACCTCCTGAAGCAGAACAAGCCCTAAAGGCAGCAGCTTCCACAAGACAACCAAAACTCTCTGAGTACCCAGTGGATGCTCTCTGGGTGTGCAGAGGGAGATCTGGCACTGCAGAGTGCACGGCAAGGCTAACGACCGAGACAGAGCCAGGTAATGGTGGGCTCTGAAGGTGTCTTCCTTGCAGGAAGAAGTGATCGAGCAACGTGGTTTTCCCTACCAAGGGAAGTTCACAGTCAGCAAGAAGCTGGACCTGGCTGAACTGCCAGCGCCCCTGCCTCCACCTGCGGCCAGGAGAAGGGCTGCCATGAAGAGACATCACCCACGCTCCCAGCAATGACCGGGTGCAGCCACAATCAATGACCGGGTGCAGCCCAAACCAATGACTGGGTGCAGCCACAATGACCATGTGCAGCTGGAGCCAGGGACCGACACCCCCGCGCAGCGGTGGCACCAAACAGCACCCCGCAGCATCACCGAGCGTGAACAATGCACCCCACACAACATGACCCCTGCAGCTCACAACCCAGGCCGCGGTGAAACGCCAGGCGGTTACTCGCCTCTCTTTAAACAAGACAACAACAAGTACAGCGAGAACTCCTAGGTTAAACAAAATAAAAAGGGGACGTATTTGTCTATGCGCGCTCATTACCTGGTAAATGACATCTTGAAAAAGAACTGGAAAAGTGAGTGCAGCATCTTCTAATTCATTTAGACTACAGTGCACTAATGTTTCATCCTATTGGAAAAAGAAAAGGCGTTATGATAGAAAGAAAAGCTCGTGAAAAGAACAGTGAAAAGAGGTGTAATTGTCTGGACTTTTATGCCCATTTTAAGGTATGTTTATTTAGTCTGGGCAATTCATTTTTGTGCAAATGCTGTCAAGATTGAAGAAGAATTCTCAGCGTGAATTACACGTTTCATTATTGGTGCAGTTTTTGAAAAAATTCACTTGGAATTGTGTGCCAGGAGCATAATTACAAGAAGATGTTTTGATTTTGGAGGCTACCCTGCCATGCGGTTCAACCCTGTCACTCTGAGTAACCCGTCCCTTCAGGAGACGAGACGACACGCCACCTGATGCTGGTCATGACAAAACAACGCTCCTGACATTAACAGGGCCTGAAACAACTTCCAGAACAGAGACTTGCAGAAATGATTAGAAATTATTCTCTTTCTATGAAGATTTTTAAATGTGGATTTGTACCCTCTAAGGATAAGAAGATTCATTCTTGGTCAATCTTGACGCAAGACACATGAAACAGAACTTTCCCATTATTCCATCTCATCAATTCCACGTTGGCTTTAGGAAAGCTTTCTGGGGACAGATAACTCTTTGTTTGAGATGATAAATAAATCAATGGTGTGGTTTTTCATCAGGATGTTAAGTATTCAACAAACACAGAAGCACTGCCGCTATTTTTTTAATGCAGACTATGACTGACGATATTAAACTTGTGCAGCATTCAGCAAGGCCTTTTTGTGGAAGGCAAACTCTGCTGACCTCAGCACCAAACGACAGAAACGCAGTGCTCCCCAGCCCCTGCTTCTGGAAGGTGTTTGTGCCACCTCTTACCAGGTCTAGAACTAATGAGAACTCTGGTGTGCTTCTCGTTTTCAGTGGCAGAGCCGGCTTCCGGTTGAGCTGCTCTTCTGTTAGCGGTGGGACGTGTTTGATGAAGTAATACCTGAAAAGGACACAGATTTCGCTGTAGAAACGTGCATACATCATTTAACCGGTGAGCTCGCACCCCAGCTTAAATATTTTAAATATTTAAAGCTGAACAAAAATATTTTAAATCGAAAAAAACCATCAATGCACACTTATTTTTTGAGCCAAGAGCTTTTGGAATTCAATCATTATCATAATATAAAAATGGTCCAGCTCAAAAACCCCACCTGTCTGAACCCAACGCCCCAAATGATCCATTTAACACTTCCAGCCCAAACGTCAACACTTACGGATCAAAGACTTCCCAGTCTTCTTCATAGGTGGCTTCTGCGTGGGCTGATGAGTAGCCACTGTCTGGAGATACTGGTGCTAAAATTCAACGAAAACGACCAAAACAAAACAAATAAAACAAAAAAACCACAAGAGCTGGTCTTATTAGTGCAGTTTTTACAAGTGGAAATTTGCACTTGATAGGCGAGCGCCTCAAACAGCCGTGAAAAGAGCTCCCTGCAGTGCAAAACCTCACCCTCTCTGCCCCCGCGTGATCTAACGTTAGCAATAATGAATTTCATTGCTCGTTTAGATAACTGGGAAGAACCTGGCGCTGGCCATCCACGAAGAGGAGAAGCTGCATTTTAGGGATACAATTTTTGTATGGATGAGTCACTTGAAGAAAATGTGGACGGTTGATGTAGGAACTCATCGTTTCTCGTTCCCCTCACCACGTTATTCTAACGCATCAGAACGTGGCAGGTTTCCCTCTCGTGACCAGCACGTCTGGGGCGTGCGTTTCTAACGGAAGGGGGTGGTGGTGGGGAGGGTTCAATATTCATTAAAATGCCTTTCTTCTGGAATCTTTGCTTTCATTTAAAGAAATGCTATGAGGCCAGCTGAGTTACACCGGGATAGATGAGACTTGCCAAAACCGCGTCTTTGGTGCATAGGAGAGATGTGTCTATTGAACACAAAAATCACTATTAACGTGGTGTGCACGCCCTAAATAAAGGTGAAATATTAATTTTTACAAGCTGCAGGTGCTAGGATTTCCCCAGCAGCACAAACCACAGCACCAACGCCTGTGTCCCAGACAAGGCCACGTCTCTTACCCGTCAGCGGCGGCAGGTCCCGGTCGCTCGTCTCCTCCACCTCCTCCAGGCCGTTGTTGACGCTGGCTCTGCCCGGCGCGGCCTGGCTGGCGTACGCTGCCCCGTTGGTGGACGTGGCGCTGCTCGTGGTGATCTCGTCCACCTGCTCCATGTCGAGCTGCTTCACGATCTCCTCAGCCTCCACAGCCTGGCCTGGGGAATCCGAGCCCGACGTTCCTGCATTGAGAGTTCAGCGCGCTCAGAGCCCAGTTCCCCGTCAGGGAACCAGGGCACCGGGGCGCTGGTGGTCATCACGAACCACAAACCAACGTTTAGGGGCAACTGAAGATGGCTGCGTTGATTCACCTTACAAAAACAAGAACCAAACTGAACACCATGACAAATGTCTTTATGTGTGGGACAAGGAACTTCATACCGAGTTTTTTTCTCCTCCTTTTCTTTTTAAATAAAAGGTACACTACTAGTTACTTACACCTACAAAACAAACGTTCTCATGCATACACACTTATTGCTTCTTTTATTAACGATCAACCCTTCTAAGAAATAAGGAGCCCTTTACCTGGTAAGAGGAACTCTTGGGCTGCAAATCAGAATGAAATGTGTGCTGCCGCTCAAAACAGCTTGGTCTCAAAACACCCAGAGCTACCATTCTTAGCTTTAGCACTAGTGACTTCTTAAACACTACTCACCATTTTTATTTGCTGGTGAAAAAAAATTGAAAACAGGAGAAAATATGGTTCCCAGTAACGTGGTTCGTGGGGGACTGCCCGTGGTGGGATTATCTTCCAATTTTCCATTTTGCTTTACGTGTTGGTTCGTCATTTCATAGCTTCCAGCTTCTGTAAAAGACAAGTTAGGAAGTACAACACCGTGCTTCTGCTGTCCGCTGTTACATCCTTTCATTGCTATTATTTTCACTGTAGGAAAGATCCCTCCTGTCCATGGCTCAACTTGGTTGACAAAAAATTAGCCTGAGTATTTAACTTAAAATAAATAAACAAATAAAACCCTAGCGATTTCGTATCAACGTAAAAACGAAACGCCAATCTTCAACACCGTCTGAAGTTTAACACTTCAAATTAGGAAGCAGCCGCCGTTTACATAAAGCATGCTATGCATTAACAAACACTGGAAGTTCCAATGTTTTCCGCGGGCTGGAGGGCAGCAGGGGAGGCTGAAGACGCCGCGCAGCTGCCACAAGCAGCGGTGTCAGTACCGGCGGACCCCGCTAGATGGAAACACCCGAAAGGGGCAGTGCGAGGCCAGGGGCTGAACCTCAAGATCAGGTCCACGGTTTATTCTTCTCCACACAGATACACACACGTGTATGTGCATATAAATACAACTATGAAGTCAAATAACGTCTGTTATCACAGATAACAAGGGATCTTCCCATCACAAAACACAACGTGAAACAACTGAGGTTTTCCATGTGCGGGTGTGCACAGTGGAGTACATCCTGGCACTCAAAACTGCCACCTCACGGCCGAGAGCCAGGGCAGTCAGACTGAAGCGAAAGAGGAGTTATTTCCTCACAGCACCCAGCCCCTGAGACGCTCGTCCAGATGGAAGTGAGCAAACGCGCTGTGTGCACATGAGCTGAGAACCCTTTTGTCAGCTGAGCCTGCTGGAGCTGCACGAGTGCTCCACGCCTCCTGGGTGCGCTGCTCTGCACTGCAGCGTGTGCTGTTCACCAATGTGGAGTGTTCTAACTTCACAGCGCTCAGGGTGCTCCCCTCAGAACACCTCATCTAAGTCCTGTTTCCTTAGAAAAAGACTAAAAAATGGGAGTTTTTTTCAAGTCAGATCTGGAACCACAGCTGATACTTTCAATGCTGTTGACTATTTCATCAGGTCGTTACTAGGGATACTCAAAAAGCAACGACGTTCGCAGGGAGGTGGTCAAACACAGGAACATGGCTGGGGGATCTCCATCCTCAGAGACATCCACAGCGCGACTGGACAGGGCTCTGAGCAGCCTGCTCTAACCCCAAAGCCAGATCTCACATTGCTGTGAGGGGAGCAAGGGCACTGGTCCCGAAGACCTCGAGAGGTCCCTTCTGATCTCCATTTTCCTAAGATTTCTTTGACAGAAACCTGTCTGTGTTTGAGAGGGGCTTTCAATATCTAAGGACACCTCGTTACTCCCACAGAGGTCATGAGTTGGAAGTCGGATTTCACTTTTTTGTGAGAAAATGGGAGATAAGACAAATCAAATAACTATAAAAGAAGTTAACGGAGTTCTAGCATAGCTGGTCACGTTCACATACCCAGTTTACAGAGCTAGAATGGATGTGCCCGAGAAGTAACGCTGCCAGTGCTGCCTGCAGTCTTGAAGCCGTGCTCTGCTCCGCTGAGCTCCCCTTGCTCTCACCGAAGCCAATCCCAACCCTCCCTGAGCTCCCACACTAATGTGATGCCCCGTGCTGGTTACCAGCTCTGAGGCCACCGAATGCCCTTCAGCGGCACCACCACCCAAGGACAGCGGGTACCAACCTCCATTCATCTGACTTTTCCGCCGCACTCGAGAGATCTGTTTGTTAGGCTTTTCTCCTGTCTGAGGTGTGGATGTGATCAAGTTGTTATCGATATCCCGGTCAATTCTACTTCTTTTTGCAGGATTTTCTCTTTCTTCCTTAAAACAGAAAAGGGGGAAAAAAAGAAACACGGTGAATAGCGCCTCTTTTCTGCACTGAGCGCTGCCAGAAAACGTGAGCTGGTAGAGGAAGCTTCACTAAAAACCCATTTATTGTGCCAGAATATGCAAGGTGTACCTGGCCAGCTGGAATTTAAAACTCATTTCAACCGACACAACTCAAGGTAAATAGCAACTGGGGAAGAAAACCGTGCTTGGAACTCCTGTAGCAGAAAACCTGGCTGTGAGCACTAATTCACTGGAGAGTGAACAGGTAGTGCTGTGGAGTTTGGGAGACACAGAGACAAGGCAACGGAAACGATCTGAAACTCGATTTCTCTGCCTGTTACACGCACAGGAAGCAAACTGCAGTGATATCCAATGTGAAATTCTCCACCGTGCTCCCTACATAAAAGAAATGGAATTAAATATCAAAATAAATAACAAGGCCACAGACCATACCGAAGTTAATTAAAATTTCAATCTTAGAATTACGGTGTTACCTCTCTGGAGCAACGGGTTCACATCTTCAAAAAGAAAAAACAGTTTGCATGCTCCAAAAAAAAAAAGTAAATAGATCTTTGAGAAAAACTACTCTAAAGCCCACGCTAACTGTACAGGGGCTACAGGAAACACCAACAAACAGGGAAATGTGTTGACATCCGCACCAGAAGTGAACCCCACTGATCCCAAAAGCTTCCTAGACCAACAGCCTTGGTGAGAACAGTCCTGCTGCCAGCACTGGGGATGGGGGATATTGCATACACCATAAATCCAGGTAATGAGAGAGACCCCATGGTTCACTGAACTGGTGAGGACCAGGAAGGCGTTTCGTCTTCTAGGCCATTTGTTCAAATGCTCAACACCGGGGAAGAAATGAGAGAAACTAATTCACTCCTGAAATACCCGCTGGCTTTCATGAAACGAGCTCATTCTGCTCTATGGAAAACAAGCGCAGAGACACGACAAAAATGACAGCGGGGACAGGAATGTGGCTGGTGGGATCAGCCAGACGAAGAATCCACGAGTCTGGAGCCCCCTTTCCTCCTCCAGCCGAGGAGCCATCACCATGTGGTGGGAACACTCGCCCTGCTGCGCCCTCCTTAATAGAATTCCCAGGTGAAATGAGATGTAATGCTGTTGTGGATGAGATGTAATGTAGTTGTGGATGAGATGTAATGCTGTTGTGGATGAGATGTAATGCTGTTGTGGATGAGATGTAATGCTGTTGTGGATGAGATGTAATGCTGTTGTGCTGCTTGGTTCATGCACTGAAAATGTTATTACACAGATACAAAATTAAATATACCCATGACATGTATTCCTATAACATTCCATTTGAACCCTATAACCTATTCGACTCAGTATCACCTATCAGTGTCAATAATTGTGCCATGAGGAACACGGCAATGTCACAGCGACACAAACATTCTGCTTTTCGGTTGTTTTCAGAATCCACGTCTGCATTAAGGGACGGCCTAAACCGAGATTAACGTAGTAACTCACTTGAAGCCAAGGCAGTTCCTGGCAGTGCTAGGACCTCAAAATCAAACAGCTGGAGAGGAACTTGCAAAGTTCAGTTCCCCAATGCTAACAGTCAAAATGTTTACCAGTACTCCCTGTACACACATGTAGTTTTTCCGGTGTATCAGATCTGTCAGGTTGTAAACGACCAACACCACCGTGCACTCCGTTCTATCGCTGACGTGGATGGGGCCATGAGTTTGCAAAAGGCCTCAAGACCACCTCGATCACCACCACCACCGAAGGGTTTCAGCCTCTGGCTTCTCCAACTGAAGAGCTCTGAGGGTTTTCGGGTTTTGCTGGTTCAAGGAGCATTTCTGACAAGACATTTCCAGTCCCAAACGACCTACACCTCCGGTCGAAGCTGTCAAGATGTGCTTGTTACAGAGACGTTTCCTGCCGCAAATCCCCATGCCCTGGGCGGTGACCGGGACCTTCACGTCCCGCACAGGAGCCGTGGCCATGCACCAAGTTCTGCAGTTGCCAAGGCAGCCCCACAGCTCTGTGCTCGGGACTCTGGAACCACTCCTGGTCCCCTATGGACACAGGAGGGGCTGGGAAGGGGAAAGGGACAAAAATGGGGGCATTTCATATTAAAAATCCTGTCATTAAAAAAATAAAAGTGAAATGTGATCCGAAGATTTGGGAGAGGAAGAGAAGAGGGGAGGAGAGAAAGTTAACGAAAGCTCAAGGAGGCAAAGGGAGAGAGAACCAGACGTATTTCCCTTATCTTAAATGCTGGTGTAAAATGTTTCGCTCAGATTTCAGCGTTTTGTGGCAGTGGTTTTGCAGCCAAAACGTTGCACTACGGAGCTACACCAGAGGTGTGAACGTGGAAGAGACGAATCGTCCCGGTTGTACAAAAACCAAAATGTACCTGGATTTACCCATTCAGTTTTACTGCACTGTTTCCTTGCTGGTACCTCAGTGTTTCTCAGACAGGTAACACATGCCATGAAACGTTCAATTACTGCTACTTTAAAGTTATTTCAGCTTCAGCTTGTTACAAAATTCCTGTTTCAACGCTTATTTAAAAACTCAGAAAATACTTCTGAATTTCTATTTGTACATTAATTAATCATACATTTGTTTATCATCTACTTAATCTGGGCTACATTGTAATTCAGTTATGATTCCTTGGCTACTCTTCCTTAGAGGTTACAGCTACGTGTTGTCCATGTCTGGACTGCTGGATATGTATAAAATAAACGGATAAAATCCACATTTAAAGTGAACGCGCAGCAGGTTTTAACGTGTGAAGACGGGTAAAGCTCATGGGTACGGCTCCAGCCAGGAGGGATTCGGTGGTGCAGCCCTGGCAGTGTGTGACTGTGATCCCCCGCAGCACCACGCGGAGCAGCCCCATCACTTCAGGACGGTTGGACTGGTGAGGTTTGACCTTGACTGGCTGATGGACTCAACGATTTTGAATTAAAATGCTAAAAGGATTCAGCAAGTTGATGCAAACAGACCTGCTTCTCTTAGTTGCCAGTGCTGGTAACTCCCAAATTCAAGGAATCCTTAGAAGTTAAAAATCTACTGAATTTGTTAGTCCACTCTTTCACAAAGCAACGCCTCAGTAATACATCCTGTGATGTACTGGATTGACTGAAAGACGCCTGCAGTGACTCCTGCAGGGTGTGAAAGCCTGGTTGGTTTTGTTTTTCAGTATCTGTTACCTGACACAGCTATCCCAGGTACTTCTCACCTTCCCATCCTTTACAGGAATGTTCTGCTTCCACCACATCACACCTTTGTTTTGCAAATGGATTTAAACCAAATGTAACCGAATACAACACAATTAAAAGAAAGAAGAAGTGCACTGATAGTGTACCTTGGGTGTGCTTCCTTTGATGAACTTTTTGATTGAAGACAACAGGCCGGTTTCATTTTTGGGGGGTTTTCCTCCGCCTCCGGGCAGGCTCTCATCCACCTCCGAGTGTCTCCTCTTGGCCCTCAGGGCGCGCTGGCCGTGGATCTGGCTGGATTGCTGGGAAGCTTTCCGCGTCCGCAGCCTCATCTTCATGAGTGCCACATGGAAAGCTGTAAAAACACAAACATTTCGTCACTGAACGCTTCCTGTTGAGCCTCAGATCATGAATTCACAAGTTACATTACACTGACGGCGTTCTGATGCCCCGAGCCTTTACACCCATACACACTGCTTCACCCACATCAAGGAAAAGAGCCGTTTCTTCCTGTTAAGCCTCAGATCATGAATTCACAATTACATTACACTGATGGCGTTCTGATGCCCCGAGCCTTTACACCCATACACACTGCTTCACCCACATCAAGGAAAAGAGCCGTTTAAGTCCAGGGACAACAGTGGCAGAAGGACAAGTGACTCCTGTCTGGCCATGGACACATCTGTCCATGGGATCAATGAGGTTTCTGCACAGCTCTCTGAGCAGCAGGAACAAAACCCGACCTGCTTTTGGGATGACAGGACTGTGCCTGGTGACCTCAGCACCAAATGACCACGCTCCGTGGCCCAGGTGGTCGTTCCCAGCTCTGTGCTCCCCACAACACTTCCCTGTCAGTCTCCACGTTACATCTGGGATGAGGTGCAAATCTGAATTCGTGTCAAGCGTTCACAGAAGAAGAAATGTGCATTCGATTTGGGCGAGGACAGGGCAGCTCAGCAGAGGAACCTAAAGCAGCTCTCCAACACAGCTGTGTCTGGGACCAGCGCAAGACTCATGCAAGGGCAATATCTATTAAAGCAGAGGAAAGGCCACGCCAGGGAACGTGTCCCGTTGATCTCCAACCCTCACCCCACTGCTGGTGCAGCCGAACGTGTGCACACATCCAACTGCTGCTCTGGACGGGAATCTGCCCTGCCAAGCCCTCGGGCTGCTCCCAGTGGGACGACTCTGTGCTTGAAGTGATGCACAGACTGCATCGGGAGCAGGGAAAAGGAGCAGCAAGAAATCCAGCTGAGCTGCCGGTAAGAAAGTAACACGTGTTCCTGGCTGAAGTCATGACAAAAGCAGTTTGAAAAAGAAAAGCGTGTGCTCATCATGACAGGAATCAGCCTCTGCTTTTCTGAAGATCCTTTAGCATGTGTCTTATTGCTGAACAGACGGGACAAACAATGGATAACTTTTAAAGCATAAGAAGTGTCACAACAGCGACCCTGCTCAGGAACAGGCAACAGTGGCACTGGTGTGATTCGGACACAAAATACACTGGGGATGTTCTTCAAACCAGTCCCAAACCTGAGCAGCTGCACTGGTTCGCAGCGAGGAAAATCTCACTCTCAATGAAAGAAGTCCCCGCTCACGAACAATAACATAACTACAGACACTGGTTTTTAAAAGACTTCACAAAAAAGCACTCAATTGGTATTGCCAACAGTGAAACACTTGAGTTACAGTCTTAAGCGCCAGCAAACACGGGACTTCATTTTCCACACCTCCACATCGCCGTCGCAGTTAACACAAAACCTGCTCACCAACGGAAAGGACGAGTCAGGATTTGAATCGACGGCAGTGACCGTGGCAAAGCGGACGGGTACTGAGGTTTAGGGAAGAACACCAGAAACCACAGCCTACATCTGTAACCGCGGGTTCCTCATAGTCTGGGCCCTCTGCTAACAGAAGCATTACAGCTCCGAGTCCACGCGAGCAGCCTTTCGTCATCGGTATTTGCAACCAAACCTGCATTTTGTTTACAAGAATCCACTGCAGGTGGAAAAAACCAATGCAGAGAGAGAGTGACAAAAAATCCCCAAAGATTTTGAACCATTTTCTGTTCCTATTCCCTCACTAGAAAAATAAAGAGATACAAATGGCATTCTCATACAAAGATGTAAAATAAATGTGCCTGCTATCAGAACCTGCATCCCGACTTTTTGTCCTTACGAGTGCTGCCAGATTCATTGCTTGGGTGTGATTTACGGTGGGAAGGAGCCCCAACAACAGACACGTGCTCCTCCTGTACAGATCACCAGGACCTAGCTATAAAACTGAAGAAATGATCAAACATCAATGGACAGCATGGTCCAAAGATGCCTTAAAACACAGAGTTCGTTCTCACTTCAGAACACTGAGGAAAGCCCTACTTCTCACCAGTGTGGTGTGGCTTAAATCACGCACTCTGAGTTACCAGGACTTCCCAAAATCAGATTATCCCGGGCGGCTGAGAAAAAAAAACCAATTACATTTCAGGTTTCTTGTACGTGGGAGAGGAACTAATTCACAACCCTCGTGGGAAACCCAGCCCCAGACAGAAAAGGGCCATTAAACCTGTAAACCAAACAGATCAAACAGATCAATGTTTAAGTTAAAATCGTCAGCAATTTGTTGGAATGAAGTTAGAGAAAAACAACGCTGCTTTGCCTCATTAAAAATATTCCTGAAACTCTCCAAGGAGCTCTGGTGCTCCCATGCTTTGAGAGGGGAATTTATGAGTGGTATCATCAGCTTGGTTAGGAATTCACTTGGCTGAGTTATGACTCGGAAACCCTTGGACCCGTGTATTGCAAGGAGAGAGATGGCAGAGCCCGGACAGCAAGGCCAGGACGGAGAAGGGAGCAGAGAAGTGCTGAGAAGTTGAGAAGAGGGAAAAGGGAATAAAACCAGAAAGATGTGGGAAAAAACAATATGTAATCGTCAGAGCAAGCTCTCCAAGGTACTCCAAGACGTGGCAGGGTGACGTGAGGGGACACAGTGGCTCGCTCCTGCTCCCTCCTCGCGTCTTTCCCGCTCACTGCAGTTCATCCCCACCCAGAGACCAGGCGAGCTCACCGGGCTAATGGGGAAAAATCACTTTTGTGCCACTAAATCAGTGTATCAAGGGAACCAGTGGGCACCCGAGTAACACAACAGAGCAGGGTCACAGAATCACAGCACAGCTTGGGCTGAAGGGACCTTAAATCACCCCCAGTCCAACCCCTGCCATGGGGGAACACCTCCACCAGCCCAGGCTGCTCAAACCCCGTCCAACCCGGCCTTGGGCACTGCCAGGGAGGGGCATCCACAACATCTCCAGTACCAGTACAGCACCTCCAGTACCAGTACCACCAGTACCACAACACCTCCAGGACCAGTACCACAGCACCTCCAGCACCAGCACCACCAGTACCAGTACAGCACACCACCTCCAGGACCAGTACCACCAGTACCAGTACAGCACAACACCTCCAGGACCAGTACCACCAGTACCAGTACAGCACAACACCTCCAGGACCAGTACCACACCAACTCCAGCACCAGTATCATTTACCACGGGGAGTTAGGAATTAAGCAACTAAACACTAAAACAGAAGGGGATTTGGTACATCCAGAGATGCAACCCACATCCATCAAAACGTTCCTTCTGCATTTTGAAGAACAGGAAAGCTCCCTGCAATGTGACTTTATAGAACAGCAAGCACTGCTCTGCCGTTTCCTGAGTGGGAATTAAACCAGACCTTACCAAAACCAAACGTGTGCAAAAATGAGTTGGTCAAAACTGTAAAACGCTGCAAGAAGACTGACACGAGTGACATTCCAATTCGAGAATGAAAATATTACTTACAGTGCACTGGTTTTTCTAGAAGGGAACAGACACAAGGCAGACAAGAGGTGAACCACTTCAGCATCTGCCCATGGCGAGCACGCATTTCCCCAGCAAGGAACCACTCGGCTCCTCCGGACACTGCTGCCCGAAGGCTTTGGCTCCTTTCACAGCTGGGCATCCAGCCTGGGTTATGAACACCTCTGGTGGACGCAGCAGCAGTCCCCTCCGCTCCTCTCCGTGACACAAGTCTGCTTTCCGAACGCTTGGCGGAGCACAGCTTTTACCCAGGTTATGTTTGTGTTTCTGGAGCCAGCCTAAACCAGACCACAATACCTAACGTGCTCTCCCCATCACAACGATCCTGTCTGAACACGAACGTCAGGTTCCCTCCTCAAACGCGTCCAATTCGGATCTCACCTGGCTCTGCCAGCCCCTGAGCACCCACACAGGGGTGCACGGCATCACCCTGTGCAACTGGGGTGCTTTAATCCTCTTTTCCACAGACGCTCCCCCAGCAGCTTGCAGCCCAAAACCCTCTCCATGCAGTAATTCCTTCACACCATTGAAGCCGATGCCGACTATCACCACAACATCACGAACCTGGAGTCAACTGAACATGTTAGCAGCAAAGACTGCACATGGAAAGACTCGAGCCGTGTTTCTGCACTGTGCACAAGTCGTGTTTTAAACTCTCAAACCCCCTCTCTCCTGAATTCCTTCTACATCTGTAATAAACCAGCAAGGGGGGAGAAAAAAAGGGAGGGGGGGAAGAAAAACCCCATTCTTTGCAAAAGAAATAAATAGCAAAGAGGGACTAAATGGAATTCTCATTAAACAATTTCTGAGACAGGAAAGTCAGAAATGAGGGGCTATGAAAACGCAGCAGTGACCGAGCCACAGCCGCAGTCAATCTCCCGTTTCCTGGGGTTCCTGCACACCGCGCTGCCAGGCTCTCTACCCCGTCACTGCCGCTGGTACCGCACAGCACAGCCACAGTGCACCTACGGGAGACAAACTCCTGCCAGTGACTCACTGCTCTGAACAGGAGCAGCAGATTTTCAGCGAGATGATTTATTTCCCCACCACATACAGTACGACTGTTTTATCTGCTTTTCCCAAAACTATTAGAAGAAAAATTAGGTGAGGCACATATAATTACAGGGTTTAAGGCTTTCTGATACAGGAAAGAAAAGTTTAAGATAGCGAAAGAACAATAGTGACGAGCAAGAGGAGAGATAACTGACAAGAAAATGTTAAATTACAGTGTCGAACGATTTCTACATTTAATTTAGCACTCGGTAATAACACTGAATTGCCACCCCTGAACACTATAAATTCCAAGGCTGGCAGAAATCTGGAGGACAAAGACAACTGAACGCACCTCAGGAACGCAGCCCGGCGAGCAGGAACTCATCAGGAGAATTCGTTTCAGTTTTACAAAGCTGTGGACACCACCAAATTTAACCGCTGTGACCGCTGATGCCTGCGTTGGCACTGGGGAGATACCAGGGGCAGGGTCCCCCTGTCTCTCAGCT